TCGGCCGTGCTAGGCCTCAGCGAGGACAGTCTCCGGCGACAGCGGCACGCAGACGCGGCGTCACCTCGAGGCTGCCCGCTATGCCCGGACGGTGGCCCGGCGCAGTCGCAGACGCTTGGTCTGCATCTGAGTCCGGCCGCCTGCAGCGGGGTGTCGTGGGGGTCCCGGTCCGCGTACCCTGATCCCCGTGTCGTCGCGGAGCCATGGGACCCATCGTTCCTGTACGCTGAGACAGAGAAAGCATCCTTGGAAAGGCAGGAGATGGAGCCCAGCCCCTCGTCTCCGGTTAGTAGCCCCTTCCTTGCGCCGTCTGGGTGGCACCCCCTGCTGTTGGGGCTGCGAATCACAGCCCCACAGCGCGGACCATTTCCTTGCTGCACCTCGGAGGGCAGCTGACCTCACCCGACCTCCCTAGCGAGCATCCCCGCGTTCCCTGGGTGCCCAAACGGGGTGGGAAGTGGGGGACCGGCAGGGATTAAGGTCGCTCTGCTGGCTCGATGAACCTGGAGCGTGGAGCACACAAGCGCGCGGACCTGGCCCTGGGGCAGGTGCTGACTGCGACGCTGTTCTCTCTTTCTGCAGCTCTTCAGTAGCGACGTGCTGGCTCTGCTAGAAACCTGGACGCCGCAGGAGTGGCCGCCAGCCTGAAGAGTCGAAGGGACATTGGATGACTGGCACCCTGTCTGAGCACAGAGACTTTTTCCCTTTTGCCTCCGCACCTTCGAAGCGAGTATTTCCTGGAAGAGGCACCAGCGATACCAACGTGGGCATTCCCGGGTTGGGAGCCTCATCTAGAACGTACCTTTTCTGCCCTCTTGGAAGGAGGGACCCATAGGGTAAACGCTCTAAAATGAAGCAGGAACAAGACTCTGCTTGGTGTATATTTATTTATTTGTGAATAAACCGTCTGTGCTGGTGTCATTTGGCATTTGTGTATCTGTCAGTCCCCGGTCCTGTCCCCTCACCCCGCCCCACCGCCTCCGCCGCCCCTCCACTAGGACCTCACACTGTAAGGCCCAGGCTGGCCCAAACTCATGCTGGGATTATAAGCAGGAGCCCACATATCTTGCTGGAAGTTCTGCTATGTGGCAGGAAAGCTAACGGGATTGTTGAGAGAGGATTTTGTCATCTTCAGCCTGGAAACACAGGCCCAGAGTCCTTTCTTCTACCCCTATCCTGGTCAACCTGTGTCTTAGTCACCTTTGCGTATGTTTATCAAAAGCGTAAAGGTAAGACTCAGACCCACGTAGGACCTGGGCATTGGAGGGCTCAGCCACTGGAGGATAGTATCTATTCACTCTGGGCTGCTGGGCTGCAGAACTAGGGGCGCTGCCCCTCCCACGTGACTTGGAGACATCAATAACACTGGTAGGAGAGCTGATTTGGTGTGATCAATGGTTCCTTGGAGGCCTGGGCTAGGGTGAGGTGAAGGAAGGACTTCGTTGATTGCTGACCTGTGCTGATGCAATTCAGATCAGGAAGAAGCAACTAGAAGAGAGGCACCTGGAGTTCATTAAGAGAGAGACTGGCATTAACCAACCAGTGGGTTGCAGAGAACAGTCCTATGAGGGCCCTTGACTCATAGTCGAGGCTATCAAGGGCTCACTCTCAGGCGCAACAGCTCTCTCTCCCCCTCAACTGTCAGAAATTTGGGCCTTGGTATTTGTTTTTTTAAATAAGCATTTTATTGAGATAATATCCCCAAACTCCAGGTCCTCCTGCCCTCGCCTCACAGAAGCGTGTTTGTGTTAAAAAGCACAAGGCGACGATTTTGGCATATTCATAAGAGTTGTGCAGCTATTCTCACTAATTTTCGAGTAGTTTTATATGGATGCTGTGGTGTACCTTTGATCCCAGCACTCGGGAGGCAAAGACCCGGGGTTTTAGGATGGGGAATTAAAGATATTAGCAAGTCTTTTCACAGATAAGTGGAGCTCATTGCCAGCCCCCTTCCCCGCAGAGGGCCTCTCCTCTGAGGGGCCTGGGAGCAGCCCGCTGTTTATTAGCACCTGGGTGTGAATTTTCATTAACAGGTCCCTGCTAATGGTGGCTGGGACACAGGATTGTCGGTAGAAAAGGGTCACCTCCCACTGCTCCCAGGCCCCTTCCCCGCTTCCTGGCCCAATCAGCACCTGGAGCAGACTCCAAGTGTCAGTTCATCATGAAGACCACAGCCCAGGAGGGCAGCCCCGAGGCAGATGGTGGGGGAGCCTGTCGCCCTGGTTCGCAGCCAACCTAAGAGGTATCACAACTACAGGCCCGTCTTACTGATGGTGGGCAGCTGTGAGGAAGGATGAGGTTCACAGGTCCTACAGATGCCAAGTGTCTGCTTTGGGATTGACTCTGGACTCAACTCCTTCGAGTTCTTTACAAGGTCTGGAGAGGTCCAGACTCATTCCAGGAAGCAGGGCACACGCACATGGGTACCAACAAGGCTAGGGGCAGCCCATTCTGAATCCCGCTGGCTCCGGCTGCCTTTCTTCCAGTGAGGGAGCTGCTTTCTCCATCTAACCTAGTTAAGCGCACTGACTGCTTTTCCAGGGAAGCTCGGTTCTGTTCCCAGTACCTACCCAGGAGTTCACAATTGTCTGTAATCTCAGTCACGGGCTGTAACTCGAGTCTGACGCCCTCTTCTGGCCTCCGCTGGTACCAGGCGCGCTTGTGGTACAGGTAAAACACCCATACGCACTAAGAATAAAAATTAGTATTTAAGCCATTGTTTTCTGAGGACATAAGAAGGATGCTGTCTGAAGGCGGGGCCGAGGGAGGGGGTGGCGGTAGACAGTGCCCTCATCAGCAGGTGATAGATGGTTCCTTAGCAGGCTCAAGAGTTTGGCTTAGCGTCAGGTAGAAGAGAAACGGGTTGATGGGGTCCTCGCAGAGAATGAGAAAGTGACCATGCTTAGACAAGCGGCACGTGGCTGAGATCACAGGTTTTCTGCCACGCATGGTGAATAGGGGCCTTCTACATGGGTAAGGGTGCGGCAAGCTTGTGAAACCCAGAGAACTGGAGAGCTAAGGGTTAGCCTCATCTCCCCACAACGACGTTTGTCCTGGGGGGGGCAGGCCTTATGGCTTTATGTACACCTTCCCTCTGGTGCCCATCACACTGGGCGGGGATGCTGTATTAAGTTTCGTGCCTTGGTGCTGTGCACATCACCCTAACGTTGCTCTCCTACTAATGTTCCTTGGGGCCTCTGTCATCCAGGGGAAGACGCTCTCTTGGGACCGCCAGCTTCCTCCTCAGCGGATGGCACACTGAGCCCTCCTAGCCTGGAGAGGGCTTGGCCAGGTCTTGCTGGTCCTTCTAGATGCCACACCTAAGTCCTTGGAATTTCCAGCTCCCTCTTCCCTTCTACACACCGAAAGTAAGAGAGTTTGTGTCACTGGCAGACTTGACAGTGTAGTCGTAGCTGGCAGGACACTCTTCTCAGGATACTTCCATTTACCTTATAGAGCTCTCCCTCCCCTGGGCAGATTGAAGTTTGGGGGACAGACCTCTATTGTCCCTCCAGGGATAAACATGCACCACAGACCCATGTCACCTACATCATCATCTGGCCACATTCAGGCCCAGAAGAGGCAGGCATGTCCCACGGGAAAGGGACATGAGAGCCGTGTGTGCTGTGCGCATCCTTTCCCAGGCCACTTTTGTGTACTGGGTGCCATGGATGTGGTTTGTACCTGGGTACTGTGTGTGTCCTGCGTGCTCACCCCAGGCGAGAGCTTAGCTGAAAGGGAGTAGGGCTGAGAGAGATGTGGGGAAACTCCCATGCCAGGTCCACGCTCTTCCTGGGGCTCCAGAAGGGTCACTCCTAGCTGGCTGCTGCTCCAGTCAGCCAAACCCCTTTGACTGTGACCGTGGAGGTGAGTGGCTGGCTTGCGGGAAAGGTGATTCGACTGTTGGGGGTTGCTCCAACCCGTATAACCTGGGTCTGTGCTCTCCTCTGTACGTCAAGGGCAGAAGTAAGGGCTGGCTGATGAAGCACGCATGCCGCATGCCCCTCGTGAAGCCTGGCTCTGAGCATTTGGGTCCTGTGCTGGGTTAAGACTGAAGTTCCAGGGCTTCCACCTCATCTCAAGGAAGCGCTGTCAGGGAGGAGAGGGGTGAGAGAGGGAGGAGAGGAGGGAGGGAAGGAGGCCGGAGGGGAGGTAGTAAAAGGAGAGGGAGAGGGACGGTAAGAGAAGGAGAGGAGGAAGAGAGAGAAGAGTAGGAGAGGGAGGGAGGGGAAGGGGAAAGGAGAGGGGAGGAAGACAGGGGCTGTGTACTGAATTCTCTTTCCCACTGAAAGAGAGGACGGAGCGTAGTGTTATCCAGGGACATTTGGGCGGTCGGTGTCAGTGCCAGCCAGGGCAAGGCCTGTGCCCCACGAGACGAGGTGAATGGGAGCACAACGAAGCAGCAGCACAGACCTGCAAGGCCGGTCAAGACGGGGAGGGGGGGGGGGAACACCCTGGCCTAGGGCCAGCTTGGGAGGTAGCCTCCTGCAGTTCTCAACATGACCACATGGTGTCCTCAGAGAAACACATTTCCCTGAGCAGCAGGGAGTGAGGCTTTCCACAGGGAAGGGCGATTTCTGGAAAAGAGACCCGTGCCTCTCTGTCCTCCTCTAGCGGTCCGTCTCCCACCAGGTCCCGACTCTCTGACCCGGCCTCCCATATCAGCGTGTTCTCTCCTCTACTCCCCTCCACTCTCCTGGCCCTCCTTCATTTTCCTCCTGGGGCACCTCACCAGGGCCTTGGTCATGCTAAATACATATTTTCCCTACTGTGCTACACACCAGGCCCAGGCCGTCAAAGAGTCTGTGAAGAACTGCTTCGAGTGGGTAAGGGTGTGGAAAGAGAAGGGGCCACACAGTAGCTGGCAGGCTGGCTGTCTTACTTGAAGGAAGTGACTCCCCTAAGCCTATGGAACTAGTGATCCTCACTAGACTTGGGAAATCCAAGAGCTGGGGTCTGCTGGGGTCAGGGCTAGAGGGCAATGATGAGCCACACGCACAGCAGCTTCCAGTTTCTTTATTTGACCGATACTTCTAACCTCCACGAGGCATTTAGTACTCAAGGGTTCTCAAAATCTGTTGGCCCCGCTGGCTCCGAGGCTTGGAGTGTGGCTCTCTGTCACTGACCTTTTGCCTTGCAGGGTCATGGGGAGTGGCTGTCAAGGTGGAGGCTCCTGCGGAGGTCCCAGAGTGGTCACTTCTTTAAGTTTTCTTTCTGGAGAATAACGGAGTACCTCCGCAGCCGTGCCCACTGATCATGCCCTTTCATCTGGGTCTTCACCAGCTTTTGGAAGCTGAGGGCCACACAACCATCAATGAGAGCTGTCACCCCAGCCACCCAGTCCCCTGGTCCCTGGCTGACCCTGAGCATGCAGGTGGGGAACTCTGAAAGATCACACACTGGCTTCATCTCTGTCCCTTCAGCCTGATAGACCTTTCCTGAGAATGGCAGGCCCGTTGCTCTATGGAGCAGGCCCAAGGAAGATGGGTACCTAGAAGCCCATGTACAAATAAAGTACCCAAGGGAATCATTCAGCCTTCTGAAGGGAAGCGATCGTACTGCTACAGCACCATTCCTAAAGCAGACTGTGGCTCACAGCTGCAGAGGTCTGTGGTCAGCTTTTAAAAATGAGAATTCAGCCCAGCCAGTGGTGTCCCACCCACGCCTTTAATCCCAGCACTTGGGAGGCAGAGGCAGGCAGATCTATGTGAGTTAGAGGCCAGCCTGGTCTACAGAGCAAGTTCCGAGACTGGCTCTATAGCTACTGAGAAACCCTGTCTCGAAGGAAAAAAAGAAAGAAAACAAGCCAAACAAAGGGGGAGGGCATTCAGGCGCTGGAGGGAGGGATTCAGGGGCTGGAGGGGGGATTCGGGGGCTGGAGAGACTTCTGGTTCTGTTCCTGTAGTCTGTGTGGGAAAGGGTAAGGACAGCGGGGCGAATGGGGGCTCAGATGTGCCTGTCACCAGACCTTAAAGTTCCACCTCTGAGAACCTGGCCTGCAAGGAAGGCTAGCCCACTTAGCCAAGCAGCTTCCAGGCACTGTGTGGTGTGTAGTCTGTGCTCCCAGGAGCCCCTGGGCTCTGGTCTGGAGCTAAGAGGACAGTTGCTGGCTTGTCTGCCCCCATGGGAATATGCTGACATCATCTCCTGAGGAGTCTGTGCCAGAAAGAGAGAGGAAGCCAGGAGGCTGCCACCAGGTGGAAAAGATGTTGAAGGAAGCAAGCTTGGGGCAGAAGGTGCACGGGGCCGTAGGCTGAGGAGCAGTTCTCAGCCTGGGACCTGGGCTAGAAATGCCCCAGCTAATTGCATGTTTCTGGCTTCTGTTAAACTGCTTGCTTGCTTTTCTTCCCCCTGCAACTGCCAATCAAGATGTGGTTTTTCTGTGTCCTTTAAAAGTTCCCTGGAAAATGCTTTGGAGGCTGATTTATGAGAAGTGTTTTTCTCTAAACTTAATAGACTCTCAGTTCAGACTTTGGTCCTGCTGATTGGCCTTTGGGTCTCTATTCCCAACATATAGGTGCTTTGCTGCCTGCATGTCTGGGACCAGTGGAGGCCAGAAGAAGGTACCAAATGTCTGGTACTCCAGGATGGTTGTGAGCTGCTATGTAAGTGATGGGGATAGAATCTCGGTCCTCTGGAAGAGCAGAATCTCTCACTGGCCTAGCACTCACAGAGTGGGATAGGTTGGCTCATGTGGTAAAAACCCTTCAGTTAGCAGTAATTAAATATGGAAAAGTTCTTAACCACAAACCATATTCAGTGACGGCTCACCAGACACCACCTCGTGGCTGGGTGGGGTCTCATCAGACACCACCCCACAGTTGGGCGGTGGGGGGATGGGGGACGGGGGAATCTTACCTCTTCTGGAGATTCTGCTCACATCTTTTCTCCAGGGGCAACACCTGGGGGAAGGCCTGGCTACATTCCAAGTCCTTTTGAGAAATGGTACAATTTTTGGAGATATCTTCCAGGAGGGAATAGTCCTCAAAATTGAAACAGAAAATAGAATCTGGGGTGCCCTTGGCACCATCAGTATGTGTGGTGTTACCATCCAGGTGGGCTCCTGTGAGGAGAGGAGACCATTGTGTTCAGTGTAATTGTCTCTCCATGGGTGTAGGGTCTTCAGGATGTGGGGCTGTTCTCTGGCTATGGAGGCTGGCTTACCTGGCTTGTTTTAGGAGGGAATTACTTAATCATGCAGAAGAAAGACCTTGCCAGCATTTTATCAAAGAACATTGTGGGAACCAGGCTAAGTCTCTTTTGGCCTGGGACAGAGGGGGCTGAGGAGGCAATTGAGAACCGCTGCCAAGCTTTTGTGAGCGGTCAGGAAAGGTCAGGGAAGAGTATAGTAGGCCCCAGCACTGAGTGGCTGTCCTCAGATTCCCTTCCATACCATGAAGCAGAAAATAGGGACGGTGTGGAGACACAATGAAGAGCGGCTTCCAGGGCATCGCCTGGTGGTGGTGTACAGGGGCCGCAAAGGCACAAATGACTTCAGCCTTGGTCACGTCCATGAGACTTATAGAGTGGTTCTTGGAAAAGATGAGCACCTAGGGCAGAAAGAGAAAGAACTCTCAGAGTTGGCTCTCACAGAAAGGCAGAGGGTAGAGGCCACCTTGGGACCCTCTTCCTACCTCCTGGCATCTGCCCACTTCAGACATAAGTTGCCACAAGGAAAAATCTGGTTCTCAGTCCAGGGTGCTGCCCTCATTCCCTCCCTGCTGGCCCTGGGCTTTCAGAGGCCCTTCCTGCATGCCCTTGGGGTCCCTCTCTGACACTTATGAACTCACTCTCCTGGTCTTGCCTGTCAGGTCCGCTCATCTCCTGGGGACTATAGGGACCCAACAGGACACTAGCTTTGACAGTGATTACTAACTCCTGGTGGGCACAGAGTGGATATTCGTAAACTCTTGTTCCAAGAGCCATCCTGGGCCCTGCAGAGCCTCACCCACTGCCACACCATACCAGAAGTCACAGCCGTTCTCACTAACCTCTGTCTCTGACCCTGACACGATTAGGGAGTCAGCAGAATGTGGCAGGACCAGCCAGCACGCCCATTCTCCAGCTACACCAGAGGCAGGTCAGCACATGGTTCTAGTCCCTCTTAGAAGACGATGCTCCCTGTTTCCACCTCTCAGTGCTGTGGGTCTTATTGATGGGAGGGATGCCTGCACCCTCTGCCAGCACACAAAGGCTGGTCCTTCCGTCCCATCCCCGCCCTCTTCCTCCTTCATACCTACTGACCTGAATGTTGGTTAGTACCTTTTGATACTGTCTCACTCAGCTTCTCTGTCCCCTCCTGTCACACTCCCTCCCCTCTGCAACTTCTGCATCAGGTGGTCCCTCCTCTGTTACATTACAAATTAGGTCTGAGGCAGCTGTTTGGTGCTGTGTGTCCTGATGAAGTGTGAGCGCCGTCAGGGTGAGGACATTCTCTTTGGTGTGTTAGTATTTACTTGGTGCTTGGGATCGAATCTGGAGCCTGCTAACATTTACTCTACTGCTGATCACTACCCCCACCCAGCCTTGGGGTTTCTCTTCCATATCCATATACATTTACATATCCAAAGCAAATCCAATGCCTAGCATGCAGTAGGCTGGCAGCAACTGTTTCTGGAAGGGATGATGAACACACTCACAGAAGATGACCAAGGACCTACCATGCCAGGTAAGGCTGGGACCGGGGCTACTGTACAGATGGCTTCTTCCAGGTGCTTCGTGGGCCTATGGGGCACAAAAAGGGCATTCATTCCCCTTCTGTAAAGGTTTGAAGCTTTTATTATCTTCTCCTAGGTATTATTTCCATTTTGTGTATGAGTGCTTTACATACATGCCCACATGCCAGAAGAGGACATTTGATCCTATTACAGATGGCTGTGAGCCACCACGTGATTGGTGGGAATGGAACTCAGAACCTCTGGGAAAGCAGCCAGTGCACTTAACCACTGAGCCATCTCTCCAGTCCCTAGTGAAACAGTTAATGTATACCAGTAGATATATGAAGGGATCATTCATAGTAGCAAACAAAACAAACAAATAAACAACAGAACCAGGAACAGTGTAGATACTCACCAGCAGGAAGCTGCTTAAGCAGCAGAAGATAACACAATGGAAACTGAACTGGATGGAGGTACATACATGTGCCCACATGTATAGCTTTCATGGTCAATGTTATAAAGCAAGTCAGAATAAATAGAAAGCAAATTGAAGGCTCATAGAATGATTCCACTCATAATTTCCTAAATACACACAACTTAATGCATTGTTTAGAGGCAAAATCATACAAAGATGGTAAATCCTTAAACCAAAGGAATGATAAGTAAAGGAAAAAAAGGTGTAATGGTGCACACCTTTAATCCCAGCACTCAGGAGGCAGAGGAGGTGGATCTCTGTTTGAGGCCAGCTGGTCTACGATGTGAGTTCTAGGACCGCCAGGAGTGTTACACAGAGAAACCCTGTCCAAAAAAAAAAGAAGGAAGGGAGAAAGAAAGGAAAATTATGTGGAAATTGGGAAAAATCCAACCCAAATATTTAGCAGCAACTCTCTTAGGGGCTGTAGAGCTGGGTCAGTGATTAAACACACTTGGTTTTCCAGAGGACTTGGGTTGGGTTCTCAACACCCATGTGCTAGCTAACAACAGCGCATTGCTCCAGTTCCAGGGCATCTGAAACCCTTTCCTGTCCTCTGCGGGTGCTAACATGCACACAGTGCACAAACATACATGCAGCCAAGCGCTCATACACGTAGATAAAAATAAATTTTTATAAAAGCTAAGGAAACAAAAAGTTTCCCACTGTTTGAACATGGGCGTGGCCAGGGCACGTGCCTCTCCAGTAAGATCTTAGCAGACGTCAGGAAATCCAGAAGTGCGAGAAGCCTGTGTACTTTGCTGTTGCCCTCTCTCATGGATGGGCAAGCTTAGACCCGCATGTGAGGAGCCTCGGGCAGCCAGCAGGAGAGAGCAGGAGGAAGGGAACTGGTGTTTCCTGGTCAACAGCCTGCTGGCTTCCATGAGTGGGAGAGAAGCTATCCTAGGCCCTAGGCTGCGGATGATGAGCCCCCAGCAGCCTGCAAGCACCTGTGCAAGCTAGGTAAGGCCGGTGGAGACCTGGCCTGGCTGACTGCAGGCATGGGGGTGATGCTGAAGGACTGCTTTCTGCGGCCAGTCATATTGGGAGAGATTTGCTCTGTGGCAGCTGATAGCAACCTTCAAAGAGAGAGGAGGAGGATGTGATCAGTTCCCTGGGGAACAGGAGATGATCAGTTTCTGCTGGGCACAGACAGTTTATCTCACCGCGTGCACACTGTATGGATTCATTTACATACATATAACATTAAAAAAAAACATTTTTGAGACAGGGTCTCACTATGTAACCCAAGCTCCTTTGCTTCCTGGATGCTAAGATTAAAGGTGTGTGCCACCATGCCTGGCCTTTTTTTTTTTTTAATTTTTTTGTTAAAGATCTCTGGGGAGGCCGGGCGGTGGTGGCGCACGCCTTTAATCCCAGCACTCGGGAGGCAGAGGCAGGCGGATCTCTGTGAGTTCGAGACCAGCCTGGTCTACAGAGCTAGTTCCAGGACAGGCTCCAAAGCCACAGAGAAACCCTGTCTCGAAAAACCAAAAAAAAAAAAAAAAGATCTCTGGGGAAATTGGTGAAAGTTATTCTAGGAGAGCTGAGCCTCTGTGTGGTCACATGGCATGGGGAAGGGACAGTTTTTCTAGAGATCTGTGCCCTACCCACATGCCACTGTGCTCAGGCACAGGAGGGTGGCGGGTATGCCGTGGGCACTAGGCAGAGGCTGCCAGTCTTTCCTGTCTGACCCTGAGCCACTGACCTCTCCACAAGCACCTGGCTGGTGGGCCCCCTGGTCCCGCTGGCTGTCACCAGGTGGAGGGAAGAATCAGTGCAGAGCACCACACACATCATTTCCGACTTCACGGGGCCTTCCGGATACACGTTCCGTCCTTCGTGCACCAGGAAGAATCTTAGGAAGTGAATGCTTTGGCAGAAACACCCCTCGGGCAGAGCAATGACCCCAAAGAGGAATCCTGGGGAGAAAAAAATTACTCTAGCTGATCAGAAAAGATGAGGTAGCAGCCATGGATTCTAGTTCTGTGACCAGAAAATGTGTGAGGGTCATGTATCAGGTAAGGACCAAGTCAAGCAAGGTGCAGCCTCTGCAAAGGGGAAACCCATGCCCATTGCAGAGGAACCATCGCAAGGAATCTTGTGCCTAGAGAGGAGCTGGGGGATGGGAGACCAAGGCCTTGGCCTTGGAGGGGAAGAAGCAGCAATGGAGTGGAGGATCTACAGCCCAGCTGACCTCCAGCTGCCCAAGGGATGACACACAGCACACAGAGGATGTGGTTTTAGAAACTGTATGTGTGTGCAGCCAAGCAAGCATCTACTGATATCCTCCCTTGGATTGAAAACAAGCTGTTGGCTATGGGGCTGTGAGTCACTGTTGATTCACGATCCCTGTTGAAGCCTGGCTCATGGATCCTTCCAGATGTCAACATCTCTGCATATGCCAGGCTGGACCAGGAACCTGGACCACTGCTGGTCTTGCTTTGGCTGCCTTCTAGGTCCCTAGCTCTACTACCAGCAGAGTTCCCGCTGGTTGGAATGGGGGCAGTACAGCATGGAAGAAGACCTGCTTTCTTTGAGAGCAGGTGCAGAGGCTGTGCTGGGAGCCATATCTTCCCTGCAGTGGAACAGGGGAAGTGATGGCTGTGTTCTCAGGACCTGATGCACCGCCAGGCACAGAGCCAGCTCTCAATGACAACATGGCAATAGAAGCTAGTGTGTTCCAGGAAGGAAGAAGGGGAAGCAGGCCCAGCTGCCCCAAGAGGACTATGAACATAGATGAAGGAATCCCAGCTCCTGGAGGCTCCCTGAGGGGACCCATCGGTGCTCAGTTAGGGGAGAGATGGGGAACTCACCTTCGGCCAGGTTCCAAAGAATGAGCACACCGTCCTCACAGGCAAGGGCCAGGTAGGAGGAGGAGCTGCTGATCTGAGACACTGTAATGCGCGCAGCACAGGGCCACACGTTCTCGCAGTCTAGAGGGAAGAGACATTTGCCAGGCCCCGCCCCGCCCAGCGCCTCTACCAGGGGGATCTGAGGCCCAGACTGGTCTATCCAACGCAGGCTCTGAGCACTGGGAGCCCCTTGTCTAGACTCTCCACTTCTCTTCAGTACAGAGTAAAATAAGTCATAGCTAACATTTAGTGGCTATTTGCGGGAATGCGCGGGACATAGGCTTCTTACAGGTCACAGGTAGCATTTCATTTAACTTTCAGAAGAGTTCTATGCAGCAGATCCTGTTACAACTGCATCACGTAGGTAAGACTGAGAGATAAACAAGCAGCTCGACTAAAGGCCGTAGCCAATCAGCGGGGAGGAGGGGGATTAGAAGCCAGGCTGCCTGCTAGAGGAAAGCTAGTCCTTTTGCATGCATACTTAACGTGACCCCCCCCCCCTCTTTTGAGACAGGGTTTCTCTGAAGCTTTGGAGCCTGGAGCCTATCCTGAAATTTGCTCTGCAGGCAAGGAACTCACAGAGATCCACCTGCCTCTGCCTCCCTAGTGCTGGGATTAAAGGCGTGCGCCACCACTGCCCGGCTTTAACCTGGTTTTGGAAGCACAGCATGAATGTAAAAAGCACAGGTGCCGGCCACTCAAGACCTTTTCCTGAGCAGACTGCACATAAGGCTGTGTCCGTGGATGTGTCTGGCATCACTACCTGTGTTATAGCTTCAAAGGGCTTTCCTATATTGAACCCTCTGGATTTTGCTACTTACAGCCAATACACTCAGCTTACAGTGATGTATAATACCTCAGTTTTGTTTCAAAGAAAAAAAAAATGGGACGGGAAGCAACTGGCCTGAAACTGAACCTCTTACATACACTGGGCTGGACCAAGCGTTGGCCTTCTGAAGCCAAACCCACTCTCCATTCACATCACATTCTGTAGGGCCCTGTGCACTGGACTCTGGACACTGTCACTACTGACAAGAAACATGACAGTCAGGGACAGACCCTGAGCACCCACTGAGCACCCCACTTCTGCCTGCACAGCTCCAGGTCCCTCAGGACACACTCTGACAGCTCAGCTGGAGACACACAGGCTCTCAGAGCCCCGCGCTAAGGTACTGTCTCAGCCTCGGCAGTTAAAGTACCAGTTTTATCCTTCAGACTTTTGTTCAGCGAATAGAGGAAGAAGTTATGACTGCCAGTCCAGTGTATGCTGAGGACAAGGGCTGCCCCTGGAGCTGGGGAGAGAAGAAAGGGCGTTATTAGACATCAGGTAGCCTTTGGTTTGTGTCCTGCCTGTCAAGTCTGGAGTGTTTCGTTCTAATAGGTTCCTCTCGGCAGAAAGATGGACTTCCCAGGAAGGACAGTTGGTACTTCCATGGAGGCCATTTCTAGCATAGGCTACAGCTGCCTTTGGCTGCTTTTACATCTTCTAGAAGACATCCACTTGGATTGTCAGAGTTTGGTCTGGTTGTTACGCGTTCATAACCAGAAGCAGCATGACAGACGTATACTCACAGGCCCTTCCAGTGCGGCCTCTCCCTGAAGTCCTGTGCCTCCCATCGTAGGGAAACTGGGCTCAGAGACACACATACCCAGACAGACACTGTCAAGCTACAGCTGGCAGCCTGATTACCACCTTCACTCCTGCCCACTACGTGAGGTCTGCCATGTGCACACCTCCAGGAAGCTCCTTCCCAGATGACTACTGTCCCACTGTCACTGACCTGGACAGATCTTGACATCCATTGGCACTGGGATCATGGAGTGAGTAAGGAAGTGGAATGTGGCCGTGCTGGGAAAGACAGACAGGAGTCAGAGCCACGTACACCCCTTGGCAAGAAGAGATCTGGCACAATAAGTGACTAAGATCAGAATGGCTTAATTTCTGGGGATGAGCCACCCAGAGCCTCACGACAGCCGCATGCTGGGACTAAGGGGCCACATAGACCTTGGTCACAGATGAAGACAGTGTTAGTGAAGTTGTGGGTCACTCATAGGCCAGCAGGGTACGGCTGGAGACTCAGCCAAAGGAACGCCCCTCTATACACTTCTAGAAGGCCTCGTCTGTCCTCAGAGGAGATCTCTTTTTTTAAAAAAAAATATTTTTTATGGTTTATTTAACTTTATTTTATGTGAAGGTGTCAGATCCCTTGCAACTGGATCTTCAGACAGTTGTGAGCTGCCATGTGGGTGCTAGGAATTGAACCTGGGTCCTCTGGAAGAGCAGTCAGTACTCTTAAGCACTGAGCCATCTCTCCAGCCCCTCAGAGGAGATCTCTTAAAGGCCAGATGTGGGTGACATTCCATAAATGCTTTCTCACCAGGGGTCACAACACTCAAAGTGTGCTGATAAAATGGCCCTTATTTGGAGTGCTTGTGGATTTTTATGCTATTCCCACAGCGAATAATACATGTGGTCCCTAAATATCTCCCTGGGCAGAAGGAACTAAGTGGGCACCATCAAGCCAGGCAAGGGTCTCAGCTCACAATGAAGGGCTGCCATCAAGGCTCAGCCTTCAGAATCTATATCCTGAGGTGAGGACATTCAAGGTGCACTTGACAGCAAGATGGAGAGATCTCATTTGACATGTGAAAACAAGATTGCTCCAAAGTCATACACAGCTTTGAGGCAAGTTGGTTCTTAAAACCACGGCTACTTCAGACACTGGGCTCAGTTCTGACCATCAGAACGTGGGCTAACGAGGCTTGCCTGCTGACTGAGGTGTTAGCATATGCTATTGCTAACATACTGTAATAACTAGAGACCTATACAACATCACATTTAGAAAGACAAGGAGAGCCTGGTGTGACGCTCAGCAGCACAGATCCTGCCTGGCACACAGAGGCCCTGGGTTAGATCCCAGTGCTCTAAAAATAGCAAGAAAGAGCAAGAAGAAATGGAGGGGAATGTCCATAATGGTGGTAACTTCTTTCTTTCTTTCTTTCTTTCTTTCTTTCTTTCTTTCACTTTTTTTTTTTTTTTTTTTTTTTTTTTTTTTTTTTTTTTTTTTTTTTTTTTTTTTTTTGTTATCTTCTCTTTGTGTGCTTTTTCCGTTTTGGAAGCCAGGAAGAAACAGAAAAGATGTCATGCACGTATCTAACTCTATCTCATCTCCATAGATACATATGAAGCTCCTGCTTCCTTTCCCTTGTCTGAGGTGCTGGGCTTTGAAGCCAGGCTTTGGACAGTGTTCTGCTGAGTCATATAGCTATTCCTTCTTTAACATTCTAGTTCCCAGCTTTCGTTCTAGCTCTATTTAAACAAGCCCCACAGAACATTTTACAAGGATCTGCAGGGGCTGGAGAGAGTGCTCACTGGTTGCGATCACTGTTCTAGAGCAGTTGGGGTCCCAGCACCCCTGTGATGGTAGCTCACAACTGTCTATAATCCGGTTCCCGTGGATGATCTGAGGCCCTCTTCTTATCTCCATGGGCACTGCATGCACATGGTACACAGACATACATGTAGGCAAACATCCATGCACAAAATTTAAAAAGTTAATTAAGTAAAATTAAAATAAACTTTTAAGAAGAATCTGCTGAAATTCTCCCAAGCTCACAGAGGTTTTAGAGGGGGACTCATCCAGGATGCTTACACGGGTGCAGTGGGCACAGAGCCAGCAGCAGCTCTTCAGCTCTGCAGGAAGCAGGGCCTGGCAGCCTCCTCCCCCAGGCTCACCTGAACGGCTCCTCCTCCCCCATGCTCACCTGAGCAGCTCCTTTTCACCCTGGCTCACCTGAGCTTACATGGATCCTCCTCCCCCATGCTCACCTGAGCGGCTCCTCCTCCCACTCCCCTTCCAGGTACTTCCTGTAGGAGGCACAGAAGATCTCCATGTGCTGTTCCCACTGCACATCCTTGATGAAGTGATTCTGCCCGGAGCCCAGCCCACTGTAGTCCTCTATCTTTGAAAAAATCTCCAAGGGGCTTTTAAATGTGGTACCTGGATTGAAGAGATCCCAGGATTCAATAAAATCCTGTTTCCCTTTGCTGGTTCCTTCAGAAGCCTCATCTCAGAAACCCGCAGTGGATCTGTGAGCCGGGGATCGAGCCCCGGCCACCCTCTCCCTTTAATGCACAGGCTCAGGGAGTCCAGGCAAAGGACAAATGTTCTCCCTCTCTGCACCTCCAACCTGGCACCCCAGGCTTTCTGCAACAGGGCCAAGGAAACGCCCATGGTGTGCTAAGGCCTGTGCTGCTGTTTCTCCAACAAAGAAAACAACACATGTCCTTACTGCCGAGCCACATCCCCAGCTTCCACTAATATTATCTTTTTAAGTTAATGCTATTCTTTGGCCTTTGCATTTCTCTCTGATTTTTTTCCCAAAATAATTTATTTATTTTTATTTTATGTGCATTGATGTTTTGCCTGCATATATGTCTGTGTGAGGGTGTCAGATACTCTGGAACTAGAGTTACAGACCATCATAAATTCCCAGGTGGGTGCTGGGAATTGAACCCTGGGTCCTCTGGAAGAGCAGCCAGCGCTCTTACCTGCTAAGCCATCTTTCCAACCCTTTCTCTTTGATTTTTAACAGCTACAAAGTATTCCTATGTATAAATTTTAACTAAAACAGATTTTACCTACCAGTCTGCTGTCCTTGTCAATAACGCTATGAAGTCTACGGGTGTAGGTAAATATTTTTATTGGTATGTCTTTGAGACCATGTGGGTGCCAAGATACTCCATATTCTCCGCTTATAATGGCTCACTGCTTTCCTCTTCTTGGCCAACTCTTACTTAACCTTCTAGACTTTGCTTCAATATCCCTTCATTTGATAAAGCCTTTGTTTATCCCTGGGCAGAGTGAGATATTCCTTTCTGTTTTTACAGTCCTAAATGTTTCCAGTTACTATACTTAAAATACCATACTGTGGCTTCCTTCCACTCTCCCTTTATCTTTCGGATCTCCATGCTTGTTTGCAGGCATTAAGCAAGAGTGATAATGACTTATATACAAGTATGGGAATGAGTTAATTCTTCCTAGCAATCTCTTTGATCTCCTAATTCTGTTTTTTTTTTTTTTTTTTTTT